TATAGAAATAATAATTTATTATTATTAAATTATTTCAGTAACAATGACGTATCTAAAGCACGTAACCTTAATGAGTTGAATATAAAAATTATGGAACCCAAAAAGATCCTGAGATGTTTTTCTGTGAATTTTTGTATGGAACTATGTACATCTGTTTCAAAAAACATACAAACCAATTGTATGTTTATCAATGATATTTGTTATAAATGTTACAAATGTTACAAAAACTATATGAAATTTGAATTTCTTATTTAATTTTATAGCTGAAGATCAAAGAGACTTTATACAGTTATTAGCTACTGTTACTAATTCACCAGGTTCTGCATGGATTGAACCAGTATCAGAAACTAAAACTGAAGACTTACTAAAGTGTTCAATACAAGCACTTAATACTGATCAACAGCAACCATTTATGCACTTAGAGTTTCAAGTATAAATGATTAATTTATCTCCTAAATTGTGCATTAAATTAATTTAATTTAATTTTTATAGGATGCAGAAACTTTGGGAAACACATTATTAGCATACTCTTGTGGCCATCGTTATTTATCAAATGAACAATTTAATATAGATTCTCAACAGGTTGTTGCTCGTTTAGATAATTTACCCAATACTGCTGCAGCTGTACAATCAGTTCTACAAGATATAAGTAATTCGGCTTGTCCAAATTGTGTTTATGAACAAATAAACAATCTTGTTCAAAGAGAATAATTAAATTATTAAGTTTAATGTAATATTTATTAAAATTTTACTATATATTTTAATTTAGTGCTTACAATATTTCCAATTGAAATAATCTAGTCGAAATTAGAAATTTATACTTTGTTTAAGATTTAGTTGAAATATTTTTGTTGTGCAATTATTTGTATTTGCTTTTGTTATAGTAATTGATAAATATATACTGATATTTAAGGCAAAAAAGGTAAAGCAAATGCCTCTTTTTTTCTGTGATTCTTAATCATTACAGCTGGAGTTTCCTTATTTTTATCTGACCATAATGGTTTTAACCCTAAATTTATAATTGGTTTGTCTTTCTGATCATATTCTTGACTTAATTCTTCTAACACTTCAGGGTTATTTGTTACCATGCAACATGCTCTTAATGTGAAGTAATATATAATTTCCACTCCACTCAGCAAACTGAAACCTAAAAATAGACCTGCTATGCCACCAAAAGCAACTGTAAGAAATTCGAGATAAAAGTAAATATTAGTATCTATTAGATTTGTATTCAACAATTATTGTGATATACCTAGCAAATCTACCCAGCCAAATAATACTTCTCTTCTGTATCTCACCATTGGCCATGATACGAAACTAATTTCTAAAGGTTCGTCAATTTGATCTGACCTAATAATAATATTGTATTAGTCAAGATTTACATTATTTATATTTATTTTGACTTTAATATTGTATTGTTTCAATATTTCAACATACTGGGCATCTTGAAGTTTTTCTACTTCGTAAACTGTGTTCATACACCCCAATTCACATGGACAGGCAAGTCCATTTAATATTTGTTCTAAAAGAAATCAAGTAAATTAATTTTTTTATCAAACAAAGGTTTTGATTATATTATTTAGAGGTGTACATAATAACTGCTGAATATTAAACTGCAAATACGTACTGAGATTTTTACCAATACAATTTAGTCCTTCTAAATCGCAATACTCATATCCATCTGAAACAATAATATTAATTAGGTACTAATATATATATATATATGATGATGCGCTTTGGAGTTATAATATTATGTTATAATATAAATATTATTTCTGGAAAAAACTAAAGCCTCAAGACGTATATGACAAAAATTTGAATGTACATCTGAATTTACAGTTAAATATAGAATAATATATTATATATTAGTTATATTATATTATTCGGTACATATATTGCTTTATAATGTTAAAAACTAGTGCAAATTTTGTGTAGTTGATAATATTTCAGGAATCTCTTATTAAATTTTCAAGTTTATTGACCCCAACAAATAAAATTTTATTGATATTTACAGAAAACAAAAAAACKAAAAAACTTTAAAGCTGAAAATGTCAGTTAACAGCTCAAAACAAGTCAACAAGTCAAAGTATTTTGAAAACTTYTTTAAGTACCATAAATTATAAAATAAATAATCGGTATAAAAACTACATACATAATAATATGTACACATATAAATTATATCTTAGTCCATTGCCATCTTTTTACCTATTGTTTTTATATATTTTTATTAAGTTTATAAGGAATGAATAATTCTTATTTCCAGTCATGTTAATAACCAATGATAAACCAACAAAATAACTAACTTTCCCATGATTTAAGATGCATCTTAAATCTTTTGGGAGTTACAAAATTAGAGATCATTCTGTTGAGGACGTTTTAATAACTAAGTCGTGTAAATGTTATTTCAGAATATATCTGAAGTTGGCATTAGGTTTTTGGTCACAAGACATAGCAGGGAAGTAGGTAGCCAAAACAAAATAATATGTATCATAATAATGCTAATGTTCTAAAATTTGTTGCAGAATTAATTTGGATACGCTTTACTGTAGCCTAAGCCGAAATTAGACCAGTTCTTTAGAACATATATTTCATTTCTATTAACGAAGATTAATCAACTGCGCTTGGATTACCTTTTTATGAGTCAATTGTGCTCGAGTATAACTACACATATCTACAATATGATGTTTGAAATGTATTAAATATCACTTTCATACTTTGAAGTCAATATAAAAAAAAAGTTAATCCTAGTAATTCTATCATAAACTACTATAGTGACGTTGCGTAATGCGTTGCCAGGATTATGAAGGGTAAGGGCAGAGGTCAAATATAAATTGAATAATATAAAAATACATTTACATATTGGAGGGATTACCCAAAACCAACCATGGCTACGCCCGCCACTGTAACACTGTAGGTATTACTATATTAGCCATTAGGTAATTA